CGTAATGTTGCCCCTCCACCCGGCTTCCACAGGGGTCCACAAGTATTATTATCAGAGCACATAAAATATGCAATAAATGCCAGACAACAAGTTTACACTAACTTATATTAAGTTAGCAATAGAAATAGGCATTAAAAACACTATAAAAGGTAAGATACACACAGAGTACACTTATTACTTACCTTAAAATATTAAATAGTAAGAGGTGAGTGGCAGGGTGTTTATTGAATAAAATCAGAATGGCACACCATCATCCTCTAACTTGGCACTTAAAGCAAGAGGCTTACGACTTCTCTTTTTATCACAGCTAAGCTTAGACGCCATCGTCAATGAGAGCCAACTAGTTAACGAAAGAGTAAACGAGAGAGAGAACGAGATACAGAGTTAATACAATGTAAGAACACAAACTGAACAGGTAGTGGGTGATCACTTGGTCAGGCGAAATAAATGCCTAATAATATGTGTCTACTTTTAGTTCATTCACGTCCGTTTGTAAGAGTTTGTAAAACATTTACCTCAATATTTTTTTATTATAATAATAATTACCTCACAATACAAATACTCTTACATTGTGTACAAGTTGTACAAGTTAGTTCAGAATAAACAAACAGCAACACACCATTTTTAGAGTGAATGAAGATAATAATAATAATAATAATAATAATACCTAGGTAGTAGGTTGGTAGACAGCAACCGCCCAGGGAGGTACTACCGTCCTGCCAAGTGACTGTAAAACGAAAGCCTGTAATTGTTTTACATGATGGTAGGATTGCTGGTGTCTTTTTTCTGTCTCATAAACATGAAAGATTTCAGGTACGTCTTGCTACTTCTACTTACACTTAGGTCACACTACACATACATGTACAAGCATATATATTCACACCCCTCTGGGTTTTCTGCTATTTTCTTTCTAGTTCTTGTTCTTGTTTATTTCCTCTTATCTCCATGGGGAAGTGGAACAGAATTCTTTCTCCGTAAGCCATGCGTGTTGTAAGAAGCGACTAAAATGCGGGAGCAAGGGGCTAGTAACCCCTTCTCCTGTATAAATTACTAAATTTGAAAAGAGAAACTTTTGTTTTTCTTTTTGGGCCACCCTGCCTTGGTGGGATACGGCTGGTTTGTTGAAAGAAAGAAAGAATAATAATAATAATAAACAATAATAATAATAATAATAATAATATTATTATTATTTATTATTATATTATTATTATTATTATTATTAATAGTAATAATAATAATATTATTATTAAAAAAAAAGCACAAAAACCACAAGGGTTGTGAATTCCCTGTATATAAGAAAAGGGCCCATACGAAAAAAAAATTTTTTTCCCTACAGTTATTCCCATTTTTTTGACTAGAAAAAAAGTAATTCTTCCGACACTCCCACAAAACTCCTTTGAAAACAAATCTCATATTTACATGAATTTTTTTCGGGAGTGTTTTGTATTATGTTTATTTTGGTTTGTAATGGGTTTCAATATAATTTTGAGGAAAATACATAGATGGTTTAAATGAAAATCCCCTTATTAAAAGAAAAATAAGACTTTTAGGGGCCCCAAGAGTGTTTTATTTTACGTATATTGGCGTAAAGAGTAGGGGGAAAATCTTGGGCGATTTTAATGTGTACCTGCACACCAGCACAGTGTTAAGTATTTTTTAGGTACAGGTACCAAAAGGGAAAATTATCAAAGTACATATAAAAAATGCAGTAATTTTAAAAAACACTTAAAATTTTTTGGAAAATTTTTCCCTTGACAAAAAAATGGGGTTTCAGGGAAAAAAGTAAAAAAAAGGGTGGGGGGCGCCATTTTTGGGAAAAGGCCGTTTTCCTTTATACCCAAATTTTTTGGTCATAATTTGACATTGCCCATTAGGGGAAACCCGTAAGGCAAACGCCGTAAAAGGGGGGGGCCTTTAAAACTGTATACGCTTTTATAAAACAGTTGAACATTTCTTTAATTCTGTAGTTTTTTTGGGATTTTTTTTTTTTATATACAATATTTCTGCAATAACCCAAAAGTACTCTTTTTTTCTCTTAAAAAAGGGAAAAGGGAAGATTCTTTTAATCAGAGTTATACAGGAAATGGGGGACGCTTCTGCCACGGGCCCTCTGCCACCATATTATGGCCTTATTTATTCATTTTAGAGATTATCATGTTTTTTGAAATAAATTAATTTTTTTATGTAAATTTTAGATGGTTGTGATAGAAAAATTTAAATTTGGTACGTTGATTTTAGTATCATATTTAATTTTTTTGTCTTTTTTCCAGAGTGCAAGAAGGTTAAAGGCTTTTTTAGTTAATTTAAATGAGGAAAAATTAATTTGGGTTACGAGTAAATTGAGTTACGGCTAGGTCACGGAATGGATTAAATCGTAAGTCAAATTTTCCCCTGTTTAGTAGGGTTTTTTTAACAAATGAAAATTTTCACCGCATTTTTGATTTTTGAAGTCAAAAAATGAATTTGACTCTGCAATTTTTTGGGAAAACAATTTTTGGGTTTTAAAAAGTCAAAAATTGGGAAAAACTGTTAATATTGTTTTTAAAAAGTTTGTTACAAAAAGAGTAATTTCTTTTTTCTTTTCTTCCCAAAATCCCCCCATGGAAGGTTCCCTTTATGCTGGTGAGGGGGTCTAGATTAGGGGAAAAAATTTGGGGCTCTGCTTTCCCGTTTTTCCCGAATTAAGCCCGAATACCTTTCCCATCCCCCCACAGGCGGGTGTAAAAATCCTAAGGGGTTTTCCCCTTTTCCTTTTTTTTTATAATAATTAAAATTTGCTCCAAGATAAACCCTTTAAATTTTCCAAAAGTAATAGAATTGAAAAAAAAAATTAGAGATTAAGGTGTACAAAGCCCTCTTTCTCTTAATGTGTCCTTCAGGGACAGAAGCCCGGGTACAAAAAACCTTGTGTTTTCAACACCTTCGCCCGTGTTACTGCAGGGGTTTGTATCTCTATAATCTCCTCAATTTGTTATAAACAATGTTTGAAGAATTGGGTGGGGGGAAAAGGGGAAGAGACTGGTGGAAAGTAGGTGAGGTGGACTTTTACTTAGTAGCATCATGAAGTCAAACCCGGACTTATACCTTTGTACACATGAAGTCCCAAACCCCTTATTGTTACTTTTAAGCGAGCAATTAGGATCAAAACCCTATCTCGCTCAAAATTCCACATGCCCACGCACGTAGTATGGTAGTTCTTTGTATCTCATGTTTCCCAAAAAGGGGTTTTTTTTTTAAAAAACTGGGCCCTATCCCATAATGTAGGGTTTACCTAACAAGAAAAAACAAATTTTTTTTTTTTCTTTAAAATTTTTTTAATTTGTACAGGAGAAGGAGTTACTGACGCCTTGCTCCAGCATTTTAATCACCTCTTATAACACGCATTGTTTACGGAGGAAGAATTCTGTTGCACTTTCCTATGGAGATAAGAGAAAGATCAAGAACTATGAAGAAAATAGAAGAAAACCCAGATGAGTGTGCCTACAGCTTCTCCTCACTTAACAACAGAGTTCCATTCCTAAGAACATGTCGGTAAATGAATTTGTCACTAAGCAAGGAGCATACTCTAATGGTAGTGGGTTTGTGTCTGCCATCTTTGATATTGTTGTAATGTTACCTTTGCACCATTTATAACATTTTTAGTATATATTTCAATGTACTGTGTATTGTAATAAACAGAATAGAGAAAATCAGCTCTAATATACATTGTTTAGGTATGCATACTGATCAGAACCCATCATAAGTCAGAGTTATTGGTAAACAAGTATGTTGCTAAGTGAGGAGAGGCTGTATATACATGTACATGCATGTGTTGTGTGACCTAAGTGTAAGTAGAAGTAGCAAGATATACCTAGTATCCTGCATGTTTATGAGACAGGGAAAAAAAAACCAGCAATCCTACCATCATGTAAAACAATTACAGGTTTCCATTTCACCCTCACTTGGCAGGACGGTAGTACCTACCTGTGTAGTTGCTCTTTACCAACCTACTACCTAGATCGTAATAGGAATGTGATGGATTTATTGTCTTTTGCTCTTTCCCTCTGGCATGCCCTCTTCCCTCTGCTCTTCTCTTTCTACTTATTTTCTCCTTCCTCCTTCCTTCCATCCTTTCTCTCCCTCTATCTCCTGTATTCCTTCCCTCCTTCTTCCCTCCCATTCTCCAATCCTCCTCTGCTCTCTTCTTCCCATCCCCTCTCCCACTGCTTTCTGATTTTGGTAAAACTAAAATTTTTATGTTAAAATAGTAGGTTGGTAAACAGGAACCGCCCAGGGAGGTACTACCATCCTGCCAAGTGAGTGTAAAATAAAAGCATGTAATTGTTTTACATGATGGTAGGATTGCTGGTGTCTTTTGTCTGTGTCATACATGTACAAGCATATATATACACACCTCTCTGGGTTTTCTTCTATTTTCTTTCTAGTTCTTGTTCTTGTTTATTTCCTCTTATCTCCATGGGGAATTGGAACAGAATTCTTCCTCCGTAAGCCATGCGTGTTGTAAGAGGCGACTAAAATGCCGGGAGCAAGGGGTTAGTAACCCTTTCTCCTGTATAAATTACTGAATTTAAAAAGAGAAACTTTTGTTTTTCTTTTTGGGCCACCCTGCCTTGGTGGGATATGGCCAGTTTGTTGAAAGAAAGAAAGAAGTATGAAATGTATAATGTAGATTAAATTTCCTATCAAAACTTTCACTCTTTATTAATAAATTGTCATTTTAAAGTGTATAATCATCACAATCATATAGATTTTTAAAAATATTAGAATTACAGTGGTACCTTGGCATACGAACAGCTCCCAGCTCAAACAGTTATGTAAGTGTATTTTTGTAAGTGCTTTTGTAAGTGTATTTTTGGGGGTCTGAAATGGATTAATCTAATTCACATTATTCCTTATGGGAACAAATCTGTTCGGTATCAGCACTCAAACAGCCTTCTGGAACAAATTAATTTCGTATCCCAAGGTACCACTGTATTTGAAAAGTTTTTCATGATTTACAGGCCATCAGTGACTCAATCCTTGGGCATGGTGGATGTGGGTATGGCTGGTGGCAATTTGAAAGTTAGTGGAGTGCCACAGTCGTCTCCGCTGCAGCCGGGTCTTTGTGCCGCACCCAGCAGTGTACCACCATCTCCAAGTGCTACTGTCCTTCAGCTGCTGCTCAGGTCTGATATGAACTAAATACAAGAAATTCACAAATAACCCACACTTATGGGAACTTATAACAACATTTTGGTCCATCCTGGAATATTATCTACTATGACCTATTCTTCCTTCTCATACTGATACAGATACTAAGAGTACTTCTAGATCAGGGATACTCAACCCTCTCATTTCTGGGGCTGCATTGGAAGACTGATTTATGAGTGGGGGCCACAAGATTTATGTAGGTCCAAGTATTTTAAACTGTTAAATCATACAGTGGAACCTCGGCTTATGAGTGCTCCACCATACAAGTTTATCAGGATATGAGCAGTCGCTCGGTCGATTTTTTGTTTCTGTTCCGAGCAAAGATTCAGGATGCGAGCTTCCCCCTCAAACAACTTTTTTTTAGACCTCCAGATATTACAAAAATAAAAGTGAATATATAATTGTACTTCATTGTCGTGATGTATTATGTTGTTTTTACTGCTTAAGACTATAACTGCAACAGAAATACTAGTATTTCTTACCTTAAATTGTGGGTGCTGGTGTTTGTCGATGATTGTGAAGAGAGTGGAGAGTTATGTTGTGGTCCTACTGGACTGAGGTGGATGGTAGAGGTTCTGGTACTGAAGTTGATGGTTGTACTGGAGTGTGCATAAATTCTGTAATTGATTTCTGTTCTATTTTACCCTGCAGTACATTATACAACTGTCAGTAAGGCATCAGCTGCTCTAGACACCATTTCAGGGTCCTCTTCAGTGTAAAAGTCTAGCTTTAAGTCATTCAGTAAGTCAGTAAAGTTATTCAATTAGTCAAGTCATTCAGTCAGTTAAGTCAGTAAGTCATTCAGTCAAGTCATTCAGTCAAGTCAGTAAGTCAGTCAGTCAAGCCAGTAAATCAGTTAAGTCATTCAATCAGTCAAGACATTCAGTCAGTCAAGTCAGTCAGTAAGTCATTCAGTCAAGTCAGTCAGTCAAGTCTGTAAGTCATTCAGTCAAGTCAGTAAGTCATTCAGTCAAGTCAGGAAGTCAAGTCAGTAAGGCAGATGCTGTGCCCAGCATCTCTTCTTCATCATCAGCCTCTGCCAGCATCTCTTCTCCACCATCAACTGCCAACATTTCTTCTCCAAGGTAAATGCTGTAGTACATATTACATAAATTTTTTTACGTTGTTTTCCTTATGAAACTACGTAGTGATTTAATACAGTTTGCCTTGCAAACACTCCGTTTTCTGTTATAATAAGAGCATGGGAAGGTATGTAGTCATTCTAGTGTATATATCATGTTTCTGTGTTATTAATATTGTTTATTATATCATATTAGATGAATTGTGATAGATAAATAAGCTATAGAGTTGATATTAGCGAAAGTTGAAGTATTTTGTCGTGCCTGGAAGCCCACTGGAACGGATTAATGCCATTTCAACGAATTTAAATGAGGAAAATTGACTCAACATATGAGCATATCGGGATACGAGCAAGGTCACGGAACGGATTAAACTCATAAGCTGAGGTTCCACTGGATATACAGTTTTTTCATTGATATGCGATAAAAGTACATTTGATAACCTATAATAGGCTGTCAGCTATTGCTACTACAATATAGAATATATTTTATATAGTCTTACATTTAACCCCTTGACTGTCGCAACCCCAAATCCTGAGGTGTCTCCTGGTGTCGAAAAATAAAAAAAAAAATTATGTTTTCTTATGGAATGATAGAGAAATTTTTCCCGATGGTAATGACACCAAAAGAATGAAATTTGATGGAAAACTTATGGAATTACGCTCTCGTGAAGTTAGCGACCTCAGTGATATTTACGAATCTGCAATTTTGCCCACTTTGAGCCCTATTTTCAGCTAATTCCATTGTTCCAGTCGACCAAGCTCATAGCTATTTCTTTAGAACTCCATTTGTTCTATCGATTGAGTACAAGAAACTGCCCATTTATAGATTTCAACTACCCAGTAACATGGTCAGAAATTTGCAATTTGGCCAATTTCACACAAATTAAAAAATATGCCAATTTCAAAATAGGGTCCAGAATGAGCAATGCAGACATTCCTGGCTCTAAAATAACATTTTCTTTGTTTATCAGTCATGTCTCCAGGCCCCTATGATATTACTCTTGCTTTCTATTTTGATTTTTTGTACACACAAAAAATAGAAGATTTACTGTTATGCAGACTACTGCAATATTGTAGTAATTGTATAAATAATGTCAACCCATTTGTGACTGCATATTAGAATGGCTAGTTGGACATTTATTGGACAATGACATCATTTGTTTACTTTTGAACTTTGGGAAAAAAAAAAAACTTTCCCCCCTACTTTGAGCTCCATTTAAAGGGCTCTTTCAAGTAAACCAAAAAAAATACCTCTATGTCTAAAAATTTTTTATCCATTCTATCAAATAGACCAGAAAAGAAATTCAACCAAAATATACATGAAAAACCCAGCAGGTCGGCTTTTAACAAAAAACAGGGTCAGATTTTTTTTTTTCTCATTATCCTCTGTTGTCAAGTTTTTTTTTTATATGGTGCACCTGACCACACAACCCATTCTCTCACAGGGGGCCCTACCAGCTTTCTCCTGCTTGATTGAAGTGCTAAAATTTTTTGGATATTACGTAAAACTGGGGGCTCGTAAACATATATATATATTGCCCAAAAACAGTAAAAAGGGAAAAGGTTATACAGTGAGAATAAAAAAATAGAAAAAACCCCCTAAAAAGGGGAAAAATATGTTCCTGAAACTGGTGCTTTTATGACGTGGTTAGTGATTTGAAGAACCTTGGGGGCTTAAAAAGTTTTTTCCAGACATCTCCAATTTGTCAACAGTTTTTTTTGGGTGGCCCCCCACAAAACGTACCTCAAGTGCCCAAATTATGTAATGTATTTTTTAAGTGGTTTTACGGTATGGGGGGGGTCTGAAAGGGACTAATCTATTCACAAATTTTTTAGGGGAACAATTTGGTCGATTTGGACCTGCATACTTTGAGTGAAAAAATATCGTTAACCGGGGGTCCATGTATTTTACTAAGGAACCTTAAAAACAGAAGCTTATTTTGTTTTAACATTGCGTTTGGAGAAACATCAGAACTGTTGTATCGCATCCCTTTGGGTAAGACATGTATGTGAATGTGGGAACGTTTTCTTTTTTGAGCCCCCTATTGGGGTGGGAGACGGTCAACGTGTTAAAAATATTAGTTTTTGTCTCCCCCTAGGGTTTAAACCCTTTCCCCTTAATTTACATTCGGTCTTTTCCTTAAATACAAAATTTGGGAAAATTGAACGTCCTTGTTTTATTAAGACAAATTCATTAAAAATTAAATTTTTTATGTAACGGGCCCATGATAAGTTTAATTGGAGGTATATAACCTCCCGCCGCCCGGTTGCGGGTATAGTTAGCCGTATTTCGATGGTTATACCCCCCCCTTTTCCCCCCCCCCTTATTTTCAACTACTCTCGAGTTTGGGTGAGTCACGTCACTTGACCCACTTTACCTGTATCCAAGGTTGAGGACGAGCAGTGAAGAAGTACAACCAACAGAACACTCCTGCTCGCCTTGGAAAATGGCCAAATTTTTTTACCCGGGCCGGACATATTCTTTTTTTTACTGGTTCCCAATTGGGGAAAAAAGATTTTAAATGTATAAAGTAATCTCCTTTTATATATTTTAATCAGGATCTCCTCCTAATCGTCTGTTTTAAAACCCTTTTATGTATATGTTGGATACTACAAAAGAAACATGTATTTTTAAAATTATTACGATATTCGTATTTTAACGGGCTTTTGTTATATTATAAATATACTTAATTAAAATTAGGCTTCCCCGGGATCTTTATTATTCCCCAACCCTCCTGACCAAATTTTATGCTCAAAAAAAAAGGAAAAAGTTTTTAAAATATTGGGGGTTTAAAAAAGGGGGGCCTGTGTCCGGGAGCTAACCTAAATTTTCCTTTTTAAATGAATTAAAAATGGCAGAGAGGTTTAAGATATAAAAAAGGGAGAATTCAAAATTTTGAAGCTTAATCTTGTTGGCAATTAGCACGAATTTGGGGATAAATACGACGGGTTTTCCCTCCCCAGCAGTCAGATGTATGATACAAATGTCCTTTTTTTCCAGATGAGCGGGTCCAGAGACGAAAGGGGAAGCAAAATTTCCCTTCCTTTTTGAATTCTTTTCTACAGACACCTGAGGCCGAAATACACGCTAACAACCCTACTGGAGACGAGGGACATAATTTCCTGAACTGGGAACCTACGCTGCTACAACACTCCAATTTCCACTCCAAAGGGAAATAGGGGGAAAGAACCCCTCAGGCTAAAGAAACGGATCCAGGTAAAACATTTACGATGTTTTAAACAGAACAAGAAGCCCTTTTTGGGAGATGAACACGTTCCACCTAAAATCTTTTTACCCTTTACTAATTCATCTAAGGAGAATTTTGAACGTCTAAAAACGTATTTTACCAAAAACCTCCTTGTAAACCCCAGAGAAAGTAAAAGGGGAAATTTTGAACGGGAATCTTTGCTTTAGAACGGGAAGTACTGGGGAAGAAAAGAAATTATAACATGTAAAAACCCCTTCATTTGCCCTTGTAAAGCAGCCTTTTATCCAAAAATTTTACGAGGAAATTTAGACTTTTTTTTGAGCATTCAAAAAATCGGGCGAAGGGATGCAATGGCCTCCTAAATAGGGGCTGTTTTAAATACATTCATTTTTTAATGGGAAAAGCCCAAACCAAACTGCAAACTTCCTTTTGAACAATATTCGATTTACCGGGGAAAGATTGTCTTCTAAAAGCTTATGATTTTTTCCCTGTCGTTATTTGAAAATTTTTTAAACTCTGAAGAATTCCTCCCCTTTTGGGGTGGATTTGCCGGGGAAAAGCTCTCTGCTTTCGAGGTTGGCGTGGGGGCCGGGAGCCGCCTCAGTCGAGTCATTTTTCCCAGGATTTTGCTGAAGACCTTTTTAAAAAAATTTTTCCAGAGGGGGTTTTTAACTATCTTTTGACATTTCCCCTACTAACTTTTAAACGCCCCCCACGCGATCACTTTGAAATTTCCCATGAAAAACCACAGAAAGTCAAAGGGCCCCCGAAAAAGAAATCTACCCCCCCAAGGGTTTTAGTTCAAGTTTGACGGCTAGGAAAGCTCCACTGGGAACCTTTAAAGGTGTATTCAGACAAAAAACGGGTGACAAACGGCTTTTTCCCCAGACAGTATCCTAAAATCATTTCCCACGTCCCTTTTTTTTAAAAAGTTAGCCCGGGACTTCCCTGTTGGCATAAACGGGGGAAATAAAACCCAACCAAGGGGGGAGGTATCCACCCGGTAATAAATTCTCTCGGAAGATAAAATTTTGGTGTGAATCCTACCTTTCCAGCCTCGTCAGCAGACCGTCTAATAGTGATTTTAAAACCAAAGTGCTTCGAAAAAAAAGGTCCGAGTAGCTAGGAACCCCTACTTTTCCCAGGGAAGTTCGGACTCTGAAAAGAGAGGTTATAAATAAAACCCCTTTCGAGTATGGCACTATCCCCTTTTTATTAAGACAAACCTGGTAAATTTACCTACATAGTGAACCCCGGCTAGACGATTATTGGCTTACGGAGGCAAAAAAAAGGTCCCTATTTAAGGATTTATGTAGAATCCCATAGAGGTGGATCAATGTGGGATTTTTCAGAAAACCTTTTCCCTTGCCGCGTGGATCATAATGGGGAACGAAATTGACAATTGGAGATACCCAGAGAGTCTGGTTTTAGAAACCCTTGTTTTAAAATTATGCCTAAAGCCTTGAGGCAGGGCTGATTTATTTCCCCTTAATTGCACCAGACCATGGCTAAGAACCTAACAATTTTGGATATTAAACACCCTTTAAAAATGTCCATGAATTAGTTTGAATCCTGTTTAGGAAGCAATTCGTCGACACCCCCGGGTGACAAATTTTTAACCACCCCTGCGGACCTAGCTAGAAAATGTAATAAAAAAAGTTTTCTTATAGCTCTAAAGGACGATAAAATTTTAACCAAAAAGGGAAAAGAGGAAGGGTTTTCCTTTGATGAAGACGGTTTTCTTTGGAAGAGAAATAATAATATTTGAGTTAAAAAAGGAAAATTGTTAGGGTGCCATCGCCCTTTACGAAAATAGGTATTTGAACTACACATGATAATCCACTGGGGGGTCATTTGGGTCCGTAAGACAGAGAAAAAAAAATAAGGAAATTTTTTTTGGCCCAGATGAGGACTTAAATTTCTGACAAAATAGGAAATCCCGTTTGTCAAAAATAGGGAAAAAGGCGCACAATCCCGGTCTGCCCCCCTTTTCTTCCAAAAAAATGTCCTGACCTTTGAAAATTGTTTTTGATTGTTTAGGACCGTTGCCCCGCACAAAAAGGGGGAACCTTATCTTCACTAAACATGATATGGCAACTCGGTATCCGAGCTATCCCAATGTCCAAAAATTTTTCCCAAAAAAAGAAGCTTAATACGCTTTTTGCTCAAGTAGGTACCACTTTAAAATTTAACTGACCAAGGTTCTAATTTACGTCAAGGGTTTTTTAAAAAGGCTGTCCGATTAGGAGTAAACAGATCCCCTCTAAGCATTTCTCCCCCGTCCAAAGGGGTGCTAGAAAAACCACCAAACCCTTTAAACCTTTAGTGCTTTCTGTGAGCATTTTCTCGTGAATGGGACAAGGGTTTACCCCTTTTTTTTCCCTTCGCCCTCCGTGAACTGAACAAGAAAGTACTAAATACTCCCATTTGACTTGATTTTTGGGCTCAGGTTCAGGACCCCAGCCATATAGAGATTCTTGGATAGGGAAGAGAGGCCCCTTCATCCCAGTCCTCACTTTGGAAAGAACCTTCTCCAAATTAAAAAGCTTTGCGCCCTGAATCTGTCAGAAGCTAACCAAAATGAAAAAATTTTTTTGACCAAAAAAGGGTAAATCTCGTTTATTCTCTCCCCAATGAAATTAGTGTTAGTTAAAAAATTAATTTCCCGGACATTTTTTAAAAACCAATATTTTGGGGGGCCTTTTGAAAAAATAGACAAAGAAAATGAGTGTTATCTGGTCCGGGGAACCAGGACGTCGTAAGAAAATTAAGAGGGATCAATAGATAACTTAAAAGAACGAGTCTGCCTTCTCCCCACATTTTACCTCTATTTAACCAATCCCCTGAAATAAGGAATGACACTGTAAGGGAAGTAAGAGAAAAATTAAAACTACATAATTCGAAATTTAAAAAAAACTAGACCCTTTTCCGGGGAAATTTTTACCCCCCAAAAACTCAAACAAAAAGGGTTAAACACAA